AATGCCAGAGCCCTTTATGCCAAAAACAAGCTTAACTATTAGGCTGTACAGCCTCTATAGTCATTTAAGCCTTGGTCTTTTCATCTGTTGAGTGGTTGACTCCCTATCTCACAGTGTTGTGAGTATTGGATGAGAGCACACAGTAGGTCTTCAATATGTGGTAGTTACCCCCATTTCTCAAGCGCACATATACCTTTCATGGTCAAGTGTTAAGGTTCTGTTGCTTGGATTTGGAATTTGGAGGCCAGAGAAGGTTAGGAGATATCTTGAGGGAGGGAGACTGGTTTAGAGGAGGGGAACTGTGTCCTTTTCCCTCTCCATTTCCAGCTCCCCAGTGGGCTCACATTTCTCTGCCCACTCTATTTTGGTTGGCTCAGGAGGATGTGCCCTAGGAAGGCGTGGGGATCAGCCACATGGACTCTCTGTCCCTGTTCCCTATCTGTCTTCCCCCTCTCTCAGGGGAACAGGTGTCTGAGCCAGGTTTGGAAGCAGAGCTTCTAGTGCTGGATGACTGGTTTGAAGTAAGTGAGATCTGGCTGCCCGTTTACACATCTGGAAGGTCCCCACACAGCCTTCCTTGCCTCATGGTGGAAGGGGGCTTGCTCAGGGTCCCCAGCTGTTCTACCACCTTGGAAAGCTTTTTAAAAGGAGGCCTGAGTGACGACTGACAGGCCTCTCATGGTTTCCTCTGGGTGCTGAATCACTCCCTGATGCCTGTAACCACAAACCCTCCAACCCCCATTCAGGAAACTTCCTTCCTTGTCTGGGTGTATTGCTCACTCTTACGCACTGGGCAGCCTACAGCCCCTGCAGGCCTCAAGGTTTAGCCAACACCCTCTTGCAAATTGCCCAGAAAACACTCTCCTCATGACCCCAAGCCTGACGATGGGTCTGTGGGTGGAGAGGGTGAAATGAGTGACTTTCACTGAGCGTGAGGGTAGGGGAGAAGTATGGTAGAGGGAGACCTACTGTGTGCTGAGTGCCATCATTACCTCCTTTAATCCTTATAAAAACCATAGCATGTGTTATTATTATTATCACCATTTCATAGATTAGGAAATGCATCTCAGAGAGTTTGAGACTGTGGCCCCAAATCACAAGCCCATGGGGCCATGTGCAGTTCAAACCGAGGGTGGACTCAGAGCTGCCTTCTGGGTATGCCTTCTTTGGAGGAAGTGCAGGAGTGGCTGGGGCTGCCACCTGGTCCCTCTGCCTGTGAGCTTCTTAATCTGGCTCATCATCGACTCTTGGTTTTTTGTTAATGAGATGGAGGAAGTACAGCCAGAGTGCTCCTTAGAAGTGCGAGTTTCTCTCTCATACTTTGGACATGTTATCAGAAGGGACCAATCCCTGGAGAAAGACATCATGCTTGGTAGAGGGTCAACAAAAAAGAGGAAGACCCTCAACAAGAAGGATTGACACAGTGGCTGCAATAATGGGCTTAAACATACCTACTGCTGTGAGGATGGCACAGGACTGGAAACATTTCGTTCTGTTATACACAAGGTTGCTGTGAGTTGGAGCCGACTCTACAGTACTTAACAACAACAACACTATGTACTAGACACTATGCTGGGAACGAAAGATACAATGGTTCTAGTTCTAGCTATTCCACAAACTAGTTGTTATGTTCTCCCTTAGACTAGCCTTCTAAACTGTGCTGTCCAATAGAGTAGCCACTAGCCATGTATGGCTATTTAAATTAAACTTAATTCAAATTAAATAAAGTTAAAAAAATCAGCTCCTCAGTCACAATTCCATGTTTCATGTATTCAGTAGTCACACATGGATAGTGGTTAATGTATTGGAAAGTGCAGATATAGAACATTTCCATCATCACAGAAAGTTCTGTTGGACTGTGCAATCTGGGTCTCTGTGTTGCCTGGGAAGTGGGGATAATAATACAGTAAAACCTGCGAAAGCTGGAACCTGTGTAAGGCGGAAACCTGTCAGAGAAGGAAAACTCAAATATTTTTCACTAAATAGAAAACAATAGAAAAGTAGTGACTACAGCCTGTTAAAGGCAGAAAACTTGCAAGACCCAGGAAAACAAGGCAGTCCCATCAAGTTCCAGCTCTCAGGTTTCACAGTATAAACAAACATGCCCTCACAGAGTTGATTGCAGAGTGGTGGCAGGAGGGAGGTGGTTGTGGTGGCAATTTATTAATTTACAAATATTAACTGAGTGCCTACTGTGTGCCAGGCACTTGCTCTAGACACTGGGGATACAAGCAGCAAAGAAGACATCATTCTTGATCTCATGGAGATTACGTTCTAGTGGACATGTAGGGACCTGGAAGGTGGGGAGGGTGAAGCAGAAATAAACAAGCAAAAATATCAGACTATGTTTTGAAGAAAATAAAACAGAGTGATGTGATAGGCTGGGGATGCTATATCAAATGCAGTGGTAGGGAAACTCCCAGTGGAGAGGACATTTGAGCTGATATCTGAGGGGCAAGGAAGAGCCAACCAAGTGAGCATCGGGGGTAGGGGGTTTCAGGCAGAGGGAAAAACAATTGCAGAGGGCTTGAGGTAAGAATGAGCATGTTTGCTCAGGGGCAGCAAGAAGGTCAGTGTGGCTGAGCGAAAAGGAATGAAATGAGGCTGGGAAGGTAGGTACTGGCCAGATAATGAAGGGCCTTGTCTTCTAATGGCAAATGACAAATGAGATGGAATTTTGTTAATGCATATGACCAGAGATGGTCAAGGCACAGGTCCAGAGGCAGGAAAGGATTTTGCACACAGAAGACCTCAGCTACTTCCTGCTGTTTCATGACCTTTGGCCTACTGGACTAGCACCTCTGGGGACTGAAGAGATGATATCCCCAGAGCTCCTCAGCTGGAAGGATGACCCGTCATGAGTAATGGGCACAATTACATAACCTGCTGAAGGTCAGTTTCACGTGGTAGAAAAGAAACGAAAGGCCTCTGGAATGTTCTGCTGTCTCCAAGACTGTCTCTAGCCTTAGAGGCAGGTTTAATGATGATAACAATAATACAGTGAAACCCGCAAGAGCTGGCAGTTGACGGTACTGCCTTGTTTTCCTAGGTCTTACAAGTTTTCTGCCTTTGACAGGGTGCAGTCACCGCTTTTCTATCGCTCTCTATTTGGTGAAAAATATTTGAGTTTTCCTTCTCTGACAAGTTTCTGCCTTACACAGCTTTCCAGCTTTCACGTTTTACTGTAGTTCCAATTTATTGTGAACTTGCTAAGAGGTGAACACTGCAGTAAGCACTTCGTTGTTGTTAGGTGACCTCAAGTCGATTCTGACTCATAGTGACCCCATGTGACATAGTAGAACTGCCCTACAGGGTTTCCTAGGCTGTAATCTTTATTGGAGCAAATTGACAGGTCTTTTCTCCTGAAGAGCCACCGAGTGGGTTTGAACTGCCAACCTTTTGGTTAGCACCCAGCACTTTACTGTTGTCCCACTAGGGCACCTTTAGTAAGCACTTTACACACAATATTTCATTTAATCCTCACAACAATCCTGGGGGAATAGTATTACATCCATATTACAGATGGGTAGACTGAGGCTGAAGGAGCCCTGGTGGTGCAACGGTTAATCGCTCGGTTGTCAAAAGGACAGTGGTTCAAACCCACCAGCCTGGGAGAAAAGATCTGGCCATCTGCTCCAGCAAAGATTTACAGCCGAGGAAACCCTATGGGGCAGTTCTACTCTGTCATATAGAGTCGCTATGAATGGGAATACACTCGAGGGCACACAACAGCCGTAACAGACGGAGGCTCAGAGAAGCAAACCTTGCCTTGGCTGGTAACAGAGTTAGGACTGGAACCAGGGCTTTGAACTGGTTCCTTCTGGTTTGAACCCCTGCTGAGAATTTGAATTTCTAACAAGTTCCCAGGTGATGCTAATGCTGCTGGTTAGGGACCAATTCTGAGAACCACTAGTAGAGCCAATCAAAAACCAAACCCACTGCCGTGGAGTAAATTCCGACTCATAGCGACCCTATAGGGCAGAGTAGAACTGTCTCAGGATTTCCAAGGCTGAAATCTTTATGGAAGCAGATGCTGGTAGGTTCAAACTGCCAGCCTTTCAGTTAGCAGCCCAGCAGGGCTCCTACTAGTAGGGCAGTGATTCTCAAAATTTATCATGCATATCACCTGGGGATTTTGTTAAAATGTAAATTCTGATTCAGTATATCTGGAGGTGGAAATGCAAATTATCAGCAGAGGTGAGAAGGAACCATTCAAAGCCCCGATTCGGAATGAAACTCTGGTTCATGGTCCTAACCATTACATGTACTGTCTCAGACCCTCATTCGGTTAGCCAGCCTTTCCTTTAGCGGTGTGGGGAACTAAGAAATTTATAACGACTGCCATTAGGTGATTCTCTTCTGTGTTGTTTATAGAGACGACAACCCAAACTGTGAGCCACCTGACAACCCTATGAGGCAAGCAGTGCATGCTATTATTATCCTCGTTTTATGGATGAGAAAAATGATTCTCATTAAAGTGAAGCCACCTGTCAAGAGCCTCACAGTCTGTCAGGGCGGAGTCAGCTATGGTTTTAAGGTGTCTTGTCTCTGTCCTATAGGGTCGCGACGGGTCTGAATCAACTCGACGGTTTGGTTTGGTTTTGGTGTCTACAGAGTGCGCTTTTCAGCACACTGTAAAAAAAAAAAAAAAAAGAAAAAAAATTACATCCTTCCTGGCTTTAAATGTACGGCGGAAATACGGCAACCTGAGCGGACGAGTAGGTGACTGCGCATGCGCACACTACAAACCCAGTTGGCAGTGTCAGCCACGTGTTCCCAGGTGCCAACGCGGAACGGAGCGCGAAGCCTAGATCTCACTACACGTGGACAAGCTCTGGCGAATAAAAACTGTAGTCACGAGACTAGACCTAGGAAACTACACTTCCCAGAAGAAGCCTTATGCAGCCGGCTTGCTAGCGGACGAATTTCCGGAAAAGCAGGCGCGCGATAGGCTGAGGAGAGAAAGTGGGCGGTTCTAAGCCGCCAGAGGCTCCGCCTGTTTCCGGTAGACTCCGGTCGCGGTAGCTGCTCACCATCGTGTCTGCCGAGCTTTCCCCGGCGAGAGCAGATATGGCGGCGGCTTTTCGGAAGGCGGCTAAGTCCCGGCAGCTGGAACACCGAGAGCGAAGCCAGGTGGGTCCGCACAAGCCTCACGAGTGCTGGCCCGTGGCCCCACGAGCTGTCTCCTCCCAACACCCCCCCACCCCGTCCTGTTCCGGCTGTACGCAGATGCTGTATGTAAATATATGCAAATGAATGCTAACGAATAGTTTTGGCTGGGGCGGAGCCTCACGACGGCTGGGTATAAAGTTGTTGCTCTCTCCGTAAGAAGTTCCGGGCGCTTTCTGTACGGGCTGCTCCCCAGTCACTGGGGATAATCAGACCTATCCTGCAGGGTTTCAGTGAGGTAACTCAGTGAGTTAATGTGTGTAAAGTGCTTAACCTTCCCTGAGGAAGTTGAGGTCAAAGTTCACACAGCTAATAAATGGCCAGGCTGGGATTAGTATTTATATTTAATGCTTGGCTCTGCCCGCTGCATATTGGTTTCGGTGACTGTAGGGATTGATGTTTTAAATGTGGTGTCATCATCATGCGAGGGCTTTGTGGTTCATGAAGATCTGCCAAGTACGCTTTTGTCTGTGCCTCATCCTGTAAAGTTGGTGTTTTCCATTCCCATTACACAGGGGAGGAAACTGAGGTCCAGGAGCGAAAGGGACTTGCCCATTCACAAAAACGTCACATTCAGACAAAATAAACAGTTGCAGGATTTCTGTAGAGCGTGTTTCTGTGTGGGGCGATTGAGTAGAAGTTTGCTTATTATATGCAGAGTCAATTTATCCACCCCTTTGTGCTGGGAATCACATATCTAATTCAGAAAGGCCTTTGGAGATATCTAGTCCAATTTCATTTTACAAATGGGGAAGAAAGGGGAAGGGGTGTATCTAAAGTTATGCAAGTGATTGATGGGGTAGAACTAAAGCTTTTTTTAAAAGAAAACTTTATTTTTAAAATTTTATTTATTTTGTCGTTGTTGAGAATATATGCAGCAAAACATACACCAGTTTAACCGTTTCTACATGTACAATTCAGTGACATTGATTACATTCTTCGATTTGTGCCATTCTCACCTTTTCTGAGTTGTTTCTCCCCTATTAACATAAACTCACTGCCCCCTAAGGTTCCTATCTAATCTTTCAAGTTGTTGTTGTCAGTTTGATCCCATATAGATAGTTCTTAAAAGAGCTTAATGCTCAAGGTAGACATTTTTTACTAGTTAAGCTAGACTGTTGTTTGGTTTTAAGAAGACTTCAGGGTATATTTTTGGTTTAAGGTTTAAAGAGTATCTGAGGGCAATAGTTTCAGGGGTTCAGCCACCCTCCATGGATTTAGAAAGTCTGGAGTTGATGAGAATTTGAAATTCTGTTCTACAATTTCCCCCATTTGATCAGAATTCTTCTATGGAGTCTTTGATCAAAATGTTCAGTAATGGTAGCTGGGCACCAGCCAGTTCTTCTGGTCTCATGGCAGAGGAGGCAGTTGTTCTAGGAGGCAGTTAGCTACACATTGCATTCCCTCCTCCTACTCCTGACTCTCCTTCTTTCTCTGTTGCTCCAGGCGAATAGAGACCAGTTGTTGTGTCTTGGATGAGAACTAAAGCCTCTTGATGACAGTTTAGTCTTCCTGCTTAATAGCATTTATCAGACATTTATTGCACACTTACTGTGTGCTCAGTGGTGTGCTGGGAGCAGTAGTGTAATTTGCCACTTTGCTTGAAAGACTGTGTGTGGACCTCGCTGAAAGTAATAGTAGCTGTAAGTGCTTACTGTGTGCTAGAGCCAAAGTGCCTTACCCTGTGATATCATTTAACTCTCAAAACCACTGATGGAAGCAGGTACTGTTATTTCCTCACATTTGCAGATTAGGAAACTAAGGCTCAGATTGTTGTTGTTAGGTGCCGTTGAATAGACTCTGACTCATAACGACCCTATGTATAACAAGGAAACATTGCCTGATCAGGTAGGTTAAGTAGTTTGCCCAAAGACATAACAGCATATACCAGGTGTTTTGACTCCAGAGGGTACCTAAAGGTGAAGTAAGAGAGAACTTTATAAGAGATGGCACATAAAAAATACCAAGTGAGGAGTTTGAGTGGGAAGAGTAGAGGTGATGAGAGAAAGCACCATGGTAAAACTTGTTAGACTGGGAAGGAAATGATAATAGCTGTCACTTTTTGAGCACGTACTGTGTGTTAGGCAAAGCCCTACATGCTTTACAAGGATTATCTCATATAATTGTACAGCATCCCTATGAGGTAGATGTTATTATCCTCATTTTACCAATGACCTGATGCTTAGATTGAATAGGGTCACAGTTATAAATAGTTAATTTGGATTAGCAGAGAAGGGAGAGGGGGCATTCCAGGCTGGCCATGAGCATGGCATAGATAAATCTGTTTGAGCAGGAAGTGAGGATCTTTGTGGAAGAAGTAAAGAGAAGGCCGTGCCAGAAAGGTGAGTAAACACATTGACAGGGGCAGTCTCTATTTGGATAAAGTTTGGACTTTATCCAGTAGGTCATTCAGTGAGGCAGTGGGGGAGCCATTGAAGATACTTTGTATGGAGAGTGTGTGTATAATGCAAACAGTACTTCAGATGCAGTGCCAGGTTTCCTTCTGTAATGCAGATGTACATCCAAGGGGACATGACAGATTCGAAGATTTCTACCTCATGTTGTTGCTCTTTCAACCCTTGAATTTTCCCTCTCCACTCTTTGTCAACCTCCCTTTGTCTGCTATAATTAAAATAAAAATTATTAGAGGAGGTTTTGGGTGTTATTTAAATATTGAGTTATTTATTGCATCAGTTGAAGGAAAAAAGGTGGGAAAGTTAACTTTAAAATCCCACCCAAATTATTATACAAGTTTAGACAGTAAAGAAGTGTACTTCTGCAGAAGTAAAGATTATTCAAAGCAGAAGAGAATGCCGTCTAATGGGGTGGTGAAGACTGTGCCACCACATAGTAATTGCTTCTAGTTTTGCATTCTTTTCTTGGGCAAGTGGTTCTCTGAACTTCATTCCCCTTCTGGAAAATTGGGATAACAATAGTGCCTGCTTTACCTGCTTTCCATGGTTGTTGGGATTAAATGAGATTGTAATGTGTTTATCACACTGCCTTATAACAACAGAGTGAGTGCTTAATAAATATGGTCTAGTATGATGATGTAACCAAAGCATCTAGTGCAGACTGACATATAGTACACCAAAACCCAAACCCACTGCTGTCAAGTTGATTCCAACTCACAGCGACCCCATAGGGTTTCCAAGGATATAAATCTCTATGGAGGCAGACTTCCACATCTTTCTCCCGCTTAGCAGCTGGTGGTTTCGAACTGCCAACTTTTCTTTTCGGTTAGCAAGCAGTCGCTTTAACCAATGCGCCATCAGGCCTCCTTGATATATAGTAAGCGCTGAAGAAATAGTAGCTCGTAGAAACATAATAACCAAGATTTAATCCTTGTATCCTCTATACTGTTCAAGTTCTGTGTCAGAGGGTGTTTTCTGTCATACTTGGTTTTCTCTCATGCCTTGTACCACAGGCTGATGATAACTGTAAACATTTGCCGGGCCCCTGCTACGTGCATTTGCAGGCACTTCCACTTCAGAGAGTCTCGTTTCATCCTCACGAAGGAGCCACAGTGGCGCAATGGTTAAGTACTCAGCTGCTAACCAAAAGGTTGGTGGTTTGAACCAAACCAACCTAGCGGCTCCACAGGAGGAAGACCTGGAGATCTGCTCCTGTAAAGATTACAGCCTAGAAAACCCTATGGGACAGTCCTACTCTGACACATGGGGTCATTATGAGTTGAAATGGCACCTAACAACAACAGCATAACCCTGTGAAGTAAGTACTGTTATTCTCATTTTCCAGTTAGAAAAATGCAGCTCAGAGAAGTTAAGTGACTTGCCGAAGGTCACAGATTATTAAAAGGTAAAGCTGGGATTTGAACCCAAGTCTCCAGACTCTAAATTTAGCTCTCTTACCACAGTTGCCTCCCTGTTACTATGTTTTCCCTTCATAGTAGTTTTTAAACCCTTGGATTAAGTTCGTAGTAATTTTAGTACAACTGGCAACTGCTTGTTTAGTGCCGAGTCATTGTTGCCTCTCTCTGTCCTTAATAGGCCAAGAAATCTACTATGGCAGTGCTTGTGACTTCTCTGGCGCCTGCATGGTCCCTCTTATCCTTGGGCAGAGCCCAGCTGGAGGTGGAGAGGGAGCAGGGTAACAGATTTGGCTCCAAGGACATGGGTTTACTGGGTTCTCTAGAGACTCCTGTTCCCATCAGGTGTCATGTTGATTTAGGTATATGTTTGCTGAGGAAACTAAGCCCTTTCTTTTTCTTTTGTCTTCTAGCCTGGCTTTCGAAAACATCTGGGCCTGCTGGAGAAAAAGAAAGATTACAAACTTCGTGCAGAGTGAGTTCAGTCTTTTGGGGAGAAATGCTGCCAAGAAAGCTTACAGTCTCCCTGTGCTGCAGCTGAATTGCCTGAGTGTCCAGCGGGATAATTTCCTGGCATTGAGAACATGGCCAAAGCCCTGGCAGCCTGTCAGATACTTTTCTGTGATCCTGAACTTCTCTCTTTCTTTAGACAGAGTGTTATTTATTTAACTGTAGTTGCATTGTGACTTTTTTTATTATGTTTCTCCAGATCATTTTCTCGTAGTGACTTTGATTTGCCTCTGCCTTGGTGTTTGAGCCAAAAGTTGAATCTTTTTTCTCTCCTTTTTTTTTTTGAAGTGCAAGATATAATGTAAAATTCCAGTTGTTGAGTCTCTTACATCACCATGTGTGTGGTGTGGAATGAAGAAATGTGAAAGGTGGATTCATGAGACTGAGCGTGGGTGATAATGAATTCTGAAAACATTTTATAAAACAATTATCCCCATGCTTCTTCTTTAGCACTTTATTTGCAAAGTACTTTGTAATTATTTGTTAGCTGTGCCTGTCAGCTGAGGTCCTTCTTATGCTCCTGGTATGGATAGTGATGGATTAAGTGGATTGCTCTGGGTCCCAGAGCGTAAAGGCTGATAATAATAATTGGGTGCTGATACTGGGCCAGGCAGTATTCTAGGAGATTTTCAGTATTTACATTCATTTATTCCTCCTGGTAATTTTCTGGGATAAAACCTAAAAAATCGAACCAGTTGTTGAGTCGATTCTGACTCATAGTCACCCTATAGGTCAGAGTAGAAATGCCCCATACGGTTTCCCAGCCTGAAATATTTTCAGAAGCAGACTGCCACATCTTTCTCCTGTGGAGCAGCTGGTGGGTTTGAACCGCCAGCCTTTTGGTTAGGAGCATTGTGCCACCAGGGCTCCTAATTTTCTGGGCTAAGTTACTATTATTATCATCCTCATGTTACAGATGAAATTAGGGTAGAGTGGTTAATTAACTTAAGCGAGGTTATTCAGCCAGAATTAGCGAAGTCAAGATTTGAACCCAGACAGTTCCCTCCCTTTCCCCTGTCTGGGCTCCAGAGTCCACGATTCTAGTCATTATGCTATACTGCACTGTGTAGTTTCTGAATCTGCTGAAGCTTGCACCAGAACCTGCCTAAGAAGTTTTTATTTGTGCTTTGTTTGGTGTCTCCTTGTAATGATTTAAATGGCACCAAAATATACGTGGGAGAGTGGCCATTAATTTCAGGTAAGATTGGGATAGGAGAGGACTGTTAGATTGTGGATCTTATAGAGACATGAGCTCAACATCAGTGACAGTGGTGGCACGGATCAGATCCAGTCATTGCTTTGGCTTTTTTTGAGTTTCATTTTGTGTGAACTTTCAGATTCTTGTAAAGTATGCTCATTGTGTTCTTTTTGCTACTAACCTTGTTTATCTAGTGATTACCGAAAAAAGCAAGAATACCTAAGAGCTCTCCGGAAGAAGGCTCTTGAAAAAAATCCAGATGAATTCTACTATAAAATGACTCGGGTTAAACTCCAGGTGGGTACTTAATTGACCAGTCACTGTTTTGAGCTCCAACTGTTTGAAAATAGGGATGGGGGAGAGGATGGAGAGGAAGGCTCTTTGGTCCTTAATAGTGCCCTTCTCCGATTGGGCCAGGTGTTGTTGGTCAATATCCAAGGCAAACCTGCCCCCTCATGGGCAGCATGCATTTTTGTTTCTGAATCTGAGTTGCCTTATGTCTTGAGTTGCACTAAGAGTGGATTATTGGAGGTGCTAAATAGTATGTGCATCTCAGGGGCCTGGTGGGTTGGATTGCCATTAGCATACACCATTGCATTGCCTTTGTTTCAACCATGAGCAAACATATTCTCTCCTGGCTGGTGATAATGATGTAAAATGGTTTAAACATTTGAAATGTATCTTTTAAATTTGGGTTTTAGGATGGAGTTCATGTTATTAAGGAAGCAAAGGAAGAAGCAACTCCAGAACAGCTGAAACTCATGAGAACTCAGGATGTCAAATACATAGAAATGAAAAGAGTTGCAGAAGCTAAGGTAACAATTGAAACTCTGTTCTGATGAATTTTTGTTCGTTAAGACTGGAAATACAAATCCATCAATCTCAAGTCATAAACTGATTTCTTCTGGCATTTAAAACCTTAAAGTTTGCTTAATTGTGATAATGAATTAGAAGTATAATCAGCATGGTGAATGGAAAGAGTTCAAGTTTGGAAAGACAGTTAGGTTTGAATTTTGGCTCTGCCATTTACTCATCCCATGATTATGGACAAATTAATCTCCTTGAGGCTGTTTCCTCATTTCTGTCTTATTGGACTCTTGTAAGGATTAAATGAGTTTTGTGGAATGCCTATCTAGCGCTACCTAAATTTTAATGGCCTTTTCCTTTAAAAGAATGAAATAAACATATTCTTTGCTGGCTGGTAATAATGATGTAAAATGATTTAAACTTTGAAATTCATTGCTGGTACCCCAGAAGAACCCGATATAAAGTGAGACCCTATTCTGTTTTCTAGAAAATTGAAAGACTAAAATCAGAGCTCCATCTGCTGGATTTTCAAGGGAAGCAACAGAATAACCATGTGTTCTTTTTTGACACCAAAAAAGAAGGTACAAAATGTTTGAAGTTTTCTGGGACAGTCTAGCATATTGATTTATGTTGTTCAGAGACAGACTTTGGACATTGCCTTAAGGATTGTCTTGACTTTTAGTTGAACACTTCGATGTTGCAACTCACCTGCGAACAGCCCCGGAACTAGTTGATAGAGTCTTTAATAGACCCACAGTAGAGACCTTGAGGAAGGAAAAAGTGAAAGGAGTTACCCATCAGACTCAATTTAAGGTAATTTTCTCTATTGTTGTTCTCCATTTTTGAGTTTAGGGCAATCTAGGTTCCTTTTTTTCTCACTGCATTTAATATAATGATTTGTGGAAAACTCATTATGTTCCCTTAGAAAAGTGGAAGGAGAATTTGATTATGGGGATGGAAGCGGAGGAGGGTTCTCTGGTTTTTGAGATTGGAGGCTGTGCAGCATTTAGTGGTCAGGAGCTTAGGTTCTGGCCTTTAGATCCGGGTTGGAATCCCAGCTCTGACCCTGTGCTTTAATGCTTTAAACAAATGCCAAACATTTTTAAAATGCAGAGAAAAGAGGGACACGAAGGATTAAGGGATTTGGTATGCTTTGATATTGAACCTGCAGCAGTGAATACATATCAAAAGGTCTTTTTATATCACGCTTATAATTGTAACCAAAATTTTGTGTTTGACTTTTCGTTATAGTGCTTTCCGTCACTGTAACTGGGTTTGTGCACAAGACATGCTTTTTCTCAAAGCCTTCTGGAGTTGAACTCTCACTTCTGACTGATTCATTTAAAAAAATGCTGTCAGTGTGTTTCAAGCAGACAGCTGTTCTGTTTTGATTTGAATCATTTACACCACATCAGCTTTGCTTCCAATGTTTAACTTCACAGCAGTTTTCTCTAGCTCAGAGGCAGCTAAACTTGCTTTAGTAATATAAATACTCCTAATTAGTTTGACTATATTGGGTGATCCCATAAATTCGACAGTCTGTGCAATAACGTGAAAACAAAAGCTGTCTGAAACCACTGCTGTGAGACTAGGGTAGAGTCGGTGAATTGTTAAGTCTGAGGCCCAGTACTGCTCCCCTCTATGTAGATGACACTTCCAGCTGAGGAGCCGGCTCACTAGTGTTCTTGTGATAACCCTGTTTATCAATTAGTCGTATTTTCAATTAGCCGCGTCACTGACACGTCTCAAGAATTGTAGTAGTCCCTAAAGAGATTAATATCCTAAACTCCTGTGTAGAATAGTTCACAGCATAGCTTTTGAGAAGTTGGAAAGGTTTGAGTCTTACCATTTTTGTCTAGCAGTGTTGTTTCTTTTGATTGTTTTCTTTAAAGCGAAGTTGTTTTTATTAAGGGGCTGCTGGCGGGTGGATTGCAAAGGAATTTAGTCTAACCTGGAGAGGGTGGGCAGTCCACAAGTCCACAAGACACACATACACACACTGAAATTTTGTGCAAATGGGTGTATAGCTTGCACACATTTGTACAAACGTGTGTACATTTATCTCAAGAAAGGATCCAAAACTTTCACTAATTTCTCAAAGGTTTATGATTACCCAAATTTAAGGACTGCTGATCTTTGAGGAGTCATTAGCAGTGAGAATTCTCAGGTCACTTTTGCTGAAGAAGTCCTGCTCTCTGAGTTTTGAGGTTCTCAGTCTGCAGCACAGGACCTGGCAGCTCTTATGTTCCTCTCCGTTCACTTTGTGTAGGGTTTCTAGTACTCTTTCATTACTTGCCATCACCTCTGGTAACCAGGAGCTCAGACACGGAGGTTGAAGCAGCTTAGTGTAATAGTGGAAAGATTCCCGGCATTTGTGAGATTCAGGATAGCCTTGACTCTGCTCCAGGTGAACCATGTATCCTTGGGCAAGGTGTTTTTCTTCTCTGGATCTCAATTTCTGCATTTATAAAATGACAGGTTTCAATAAGATGGTTTCCAAGGTTCCTTTCAGTTCTAGAATGTGATGTTTCTAAAATGGACACTGTAGTATCACGCTATGGTAATTCTGAAGTAAGGAGGGAGTTGATGAAACCATTCATGCATATGGGTTTAAGTGGATTAAGAAATATTTTCTTACTCATTTTTATCCTTTTAATTGTTTTATTGAATGTGTGTTTCTTCTGCAGCGGATAGCTAAAGAAAGGCAAAAGCAATATAACCACCTGACACAGCGGATTAAACGAGAGAAGGAATTGTTTGTTGTTGCACAGAAAATTCAAACACGCAAAGATCTTCTGGTGAGGAGGGAGAAGCCTTAGGCCTTCATTTTTTTTCCCCCCTTCTTGTAAAGGTCTTAACTGAGGCTCGATTTCAGCTATGTGTAAATCAGCGCCAGTGAAAATGTCTGCCCCTCAGGGGCAGTGGTTTGAGCCAACGTCTGTTACTCTGACAGTGTTGAAATGTTTCTTGATTAAGAAGGTAATAAGGGGGTTATTAGTCAGTGCTTCGGAACAGCAAAGGGTAGGATTGGGTAGCATATGAACTTTATAGCTTATGAATAGCTATCCTTAACATTTAAACAGGTTAACAAAACCGTGTGTGTCACTCACTGGTGTTTAAAAATAGACAACATTGTGTAGTTAAATAGCAGAGCTAAGGAATCTAAGATGCCCCTTTCATATTATTATCATTTCTCTAAATGTCAAATTCTTTAGCTTTGCACATTACTTCCTTCAGCCTTTCTCAACTGGGGTTCCGTGAGAGAACCTACAAAAAAATGATTTGAATACCTTTCTTCTCAGTTTTCCCAGGAACTGTTTGTACACACCTAGTACCATTGTAGATGCTCAGGAGAGAAGTTAATTGATTACATACAGTGGATGCCTGGGAGTATTAGGGCTTTTTCTGTCCTGAATGAACATTGCCGTTTACTGATAACCTTTTTACTGTTTTGTAGGATAAAACTCAGAAGGTGAAGGTGAAGAGTGCCACAGTAAACTCCCCGGCTATTTACAAATTTCAGAGTCGTCGAAAACGCTGATGTATTATAGTTGAGCCTTGTCATTCTGCAGGGACAAGAATTCTTGTCCCTCACCTCCCCAGGAACTTCACATTCCATTAGTCGAAGTGGCGTGGTTTATCTGTTTGTAGTCATAATTTATTATAGATCTTAAGGTTTGATGTGTTTCTATAAACAACATTAAAGCTCCTTCCCTTGTGTTACTGTTTTTGGGTTGTGAAATCATCAGTCTTATTTGTTTATACTTAAATTTTTTATCATTATGAAAATTATATAATCTTATTTCAGCAAATTTGGAAAATAGTTAATTCATCTTTAATCCCGGTACTTATTCAAGAACAACAAATTTTATTGCATACTTATTGTGCTGAGGACTGTCTAGGTGAAAAACTACTGTGAGCATCCTGGTTGATTTCCTGCATTTTTAAAACTGCACCAGGTTTTTGTTTATGTTTTTGTGTTTTGTAGTTGTAATTACAGTAAACAATTTTATATCCTACTTTTTTCACTTAACATTAAATCATTAGTTTTTTTCCATTTTATTACATCGTTAAATGTTAAAGTAACATATGCTCATGGTAAAAATTAAAATAAGTATTATTTTTAATGATTGTGTAATGTTTTATTCAGTGGATAGAATGATTTTACCTTTATTCATTGTTCTTTTATTGGCTACTCAGGTGGCTTCTTAAGATATCCAAGGAGAAAATCTCTTAAACTTTAAAGCTACAGATAGAAACCCATGGGGCCAAGAACCCACAGAAGCACTTCTTTGTTCATGAAGCTCAAATAGGAATAGACCTGGCTCTCTGTTCCTGCTCTCTGCTCTCCTGGCCATCTTTTGATTCCAAAGCTGTAAATGGATTGGTATAGCCCTTCACGCTGGGATACAGACCCGAGTGTATGTGGCAGCTTCTTTCTCTTCTTCCCAAGAGTCTTACCCATCCCTTACCTGCCCATACAGGGATTGTAGGCTGAGGCCAGTCAGAACAGGACCGAGCATGCTTAGAACAAATGGGAGGGGTGGAGAACAGGGTTCTGGAAGGCTTGCTCACAGTTTGCTGGTGCCCTGGAGGGGGACCAGCTGTGTGGATTTTAAAGATATATATATATGTTTTAAAAATGGTTAGTACCTAGTAAGTGCCCATAGCTGCCAAGTTCCTGTACAAAGCCTAGCATTAAAGCCTGTTTCCTCAGGTTGTACCTAGGGAGATTTAGATCTGGGGGGCCCTGGAAAACAGAAGGGCTGGGGGAACAGAATTTAGCAGCTTTTATATTCAGGAAGTGCTTCCCAGTCTGTGGGAACTCCTGTGGAGGTGCTGACCTCAGTAAATGGTGGTAGATTTACAGGATGGAGATCCAGGGACCTGAATCCCAAGCCAGGGAAGGGGTTCATCACATAGGTGTTGGACAGGGGAGTGAGCAGACCAAGCAGCAGTCTCTTCCTGGGACAATACGACTTGATACGGTTGTTCCCCACCCTGTCTCCTGCCCTACTGGGTAGGAAGTGGGGGCTCTAGAGCAGAGGGAGTATTCTTACATGCCTTCTCATGAAGCATACGCCCATCCAGTGGTAGGCTCTCACTTTAACAGGCACACAAAGCACATACAACTCAGACCTCATAAACAGGTCCATGCACACCTATACACCCTCTGGAATAGGGACTCAACACGAGGGTTTCACACACAGGCTGTTGACTACATGGGTCCTCACACACAGGCACACAAACTGATGCTTGGAGAGGCATATGCTTAGGTTAAATGAAGCAGAGATGTCCACCCTCGGTACCATAAGTTCCAGGCCAGAGGTAATCAGAGAACTATAAGGGGATATGGCTGGGTATCCTGAATTGCTGTTACACTGAGCGCTGTCTCTGAGGCCCAGGAATTTTAAGGGAAGAGATTGGCTTCCCCTTGTGGGTCTTGAGAATAGGCCAGACCTTTGATGGCTCTGATGCTCAGTGGGACCTCAGATTCCTGCTTACTGCGTGGGAAAGGAGAATATTGTTTTCTTAGGATCCAGGCCCAGGAGTGGCTTGAACTGTTGGTGGCATCCTGCCCTGGCTGTGCCAAGGGGGTTGTGGGTAGCCTGTGGAGGTGGAGAGCATTTCTGTGAGTCAGGACTCGTGTGATTCAGGTCTCTTGTACAAACTGTTTCCAGAGCAGCAGCTCCATGAACTGCAGACGGTGTAGCTGCTGCTCTGGAAAGCAGCTGCCCAGCAGAGAATCAGTGAGTCCAACTCAGTCTTAGCCTGTTGCGATGTCTTAGGGTTGCCCTTCTAACCAAGGCAGGAAAGTGTCACACTGGCTTTACTGTTGAATAAAACCTTTTTCTGACTCTTCCTTTTTCTTCTACAGTCATACGCTGGTTAACGTCCACAATACGTTCTGCGAAATGGACGTTACGTGATTTGGACATTGTGTGAACATTCCTAAATCGTGAGCAATAGCATTCACTGATTTTTCACCTTGTTGTTGTTTAATAACCTTTTATTTCACTTCTCCTTTGCCTGTTGCTGCTGCTTTCAATAACACTGGTTTTGCTGCATTTGGGAGCCATGATGCACTTCGTGGTAATATTTTCAAAAGAAAATTAAACAGATAATACTACAACACTCTAGACGTGTGATACGTGAGATGCTGCTGCTGCCTACGAGTTGAGGTATACACTGTTATATGGTAAACTATCTGTAAGTAGGGAAAGTTCACATTAAAATAATGATGGAAAGTACAGTACATATATAAGCCAGTAACACAGGCGTTTATTACGTCTATCGAGACATGTACTATAGGTTATATATGTACTATACCATTATAAACTTGGCAGCGCAATTGCTTTGTATACAAGAGACATGAGATACACGTATTGTGTGTGGGAAGTTGTTCACTACGTCTGGTTATATCTGCTGTGTCCTGTTCTGAACTCTATTATAACTTTATGGGACCATGGACATATATGTGGTCAGACCGTGCCTGAAAGGATGTTATGCAGTACATGAGTGTATACTTAGAGGAAACTGATTCCTGGTGACAGAGTAGGAAAGGGCCCAGCAGGTGGAGCTGCTGCCCCTTTGCTGGGATTAGTTCTCTGGAGCTGGTGTCCACCCACCTAGCACACTTTGTTTCTGTCACAAGCCTCCTTGTACTCCCTACATGCCGAGTATGTATTTATTACATATAATATCATGGGGGAGAGCACCTGTGAAAAAAGATTTTCTCCCCCTGATCTTGAGGTTAGTGTGGCCCCAAGAAGAGGACTAGACAGGAAAGGGCTTTCCCCAAGTGGTCGTTTGTAGCGGGGACCATGTAGGAAGCACTGGAGTCTTTCCCAGGCCTCTGTTGTCATGCCTCAGGTTGCCCAAAGAGTGATTCCACCAAGACCTGGTCGGGGTCTCTCCACGTGCATTTTTGAGTGTTTGTTTATATCTTGCTGTCTCTCCCCATGCTGCTGGCTGTGGGCACTGAACAATTAGAGCTGCACGCCCTCCAGCAGGGAAAGCAGCCAACAGACGCAGACGCACTTTGCCTACCTGTGGAGGTAGGTGAGGCCGGGCCTGTTGGGACTTGAAACAGTGAGGCAAGTAGGTGTGTGGTGCTGGCCTCCCTCCCTGCTCAAACTCTCCCAGCGTGCCAGTTCCCGGAGCCTCATGCACAGGGTGTTGGGGAAAGGCAGGCTAAAGCTTGGGTGGGAATCCTGGTCAAAGCCCCAGGTGACTGGAGGAATTGGGGGTGGATCTGAAATACCCAGTCTGGGGGCTGAGCTGGCAGGTTTCTTGGGCTTGTGCCGCTGCCTCCTGGGGTCAGAGGGTGCACGCTCTCTAGTCAGCCAGGTCATGGGGCCTCCCTGCTGGCAGAGCTTCCATCCAGCTCCATGGGTCTGTCTCAGCAGAAAGTGCGGGGAAGGATCAGAGAGAAGCTATGAAACAATGAGAAGCAGAGTTTCCTTTTCCAAGTCCACCACTTAGAGTTAGGAGGCTAGAAGAGGCTTGAAGTTTCATGCTTCTGCTTGTTCTTCTCTGGTCAGAGGACAAAAATCTCTCCTGCTTTTTTCAGACTCCCTATAAGGAATCTCTGTTCCCCATTCCTGCATCCATCATCATTCCACTGAGAACTCCTGTCCAGTCTGTATCTTTCCTAACTAAAGTTCAGACCTAGTCCAGTCTTGTCCGTTTTACTCCATGGACCTAGTAATGGCTATGGTGTTTCCTCTCTTGGGTGAGGGGAGCAGGCTGCTTGGTGCCTTTCAGTTATACAGTCTGGAACCCTTTGCTTCTGCAGGGTGAAGGTGGAGGCTGGTCCAGAACAGAGCCAAGCATCTAGCTATTTCTAGACAAGAGAACTTTATCCTGGGGACTGCTGGGTTTGGGGGTAAGATGAGGGTGGGAAGGAAACCCTTCCCTCTCCCCGTCTGTCACCTGATGGCCATGCTCAGATCATAAGTGTTAATGAAACTGTGTTGCCCCAGCGGCAGCTGCACAGCCCCCCGCCCTGAATCTGCTTGACTCATTTACAGCTTTCTTCCAGTTACCCCAAATGCTTCTCTCTGAGGTGACAAATGTAGGGGGTTGGTTTCAGGTTTCATGTTTTCACATTACTGGGTGGAAAGTAAAAAAAAAAAAACAACATTTCCAAACCAAAAAAAACCAGCATCTACAGCAGAAACGTATCCTGAGAGCACTGAAAATTTCCCCATCCTCTCTCCTCATCTGCTCAGTGATGTTGAGACCGGTGACGTGGGGGTTAAGAGGAGGGGTTGGAGCCAGGCTGAGCAGAGTGTTGGGGACAGCCCCTTTGGAGGGGGCAGCACCAGTCCTCCTGCTTAAAGGCAGAGGAAGACCTTCACAGGACCCTGTAGCTCTGGAGCCTCCCGTGCCTAGCAATGATTGCCAGGTGACTGGGAGGTTAGTTCAGGATGGGGCGTGACCAGGAATGGACGAGATTCTCTCTCCTCCTCCCATCTCACATCACCTAGCTGATTTGATCCCAGGCCGTCTGCGGCAAGTGTCCCTCTGTCAGAGAGGGCTCTTAAGGTGGAGTGGTGGGTGGGAAGATACAGGGTCCATCTGGTGCATGGAGACTGAGGGTGCCACCCCCTCCTGTCCTTGGCTGGTAGTATTATAAGCCAACCTCCGCTCCCCTCAGGGGCAGATGGCCTCCATGGCAGATAGAGACTAGGCCAGCAGTGGCTGGATGAGCTTTCTGGTCTCAGCCTCGCCCCCCGGGCTAATAAGACAATCCGAGGGGCAGTGACAGGGCTGTGTGTGTGTGTAAGTGTGTATGGGGAGAGAATCCTGGCCTTGTTGGGCCATTCTGGGGGATAAATAAAGCAGGCACCCCAGACAGAGTAGATGTGTCTTGGGGGCTTACCCAAGTTAGCTGTGCAGCAGCGGCAGGTGCTCAGGGCCCTGACGGTGCCCACCTGCCCAGGCTCCTGGAGATGCCCCTGTTCTCAAGTGAAGGGGATGGTCCCCGGGTGGGAGTGTCCGCCGCAGCTGGAGCCTGGTCTGCTCGATGCAGACCCCCTGCCAGGCCCCAGAGCCCTCAGCCTGGGCAGCGGCTCCTCCCGGAGGACACGCCCATTTATTATGCGCTCTTGCTCCCTCACTG